TACTAATTAAAATTTTATATTCAAGTTTTGATAATAAATCCTTTTCAATTGATAAAATTGCCAAATTATTTAATCTTTCTTGAGACATTGTTGCTTCTGGATTAGAATTGCAATTATGTATGTTGAGTATCAAAGATTAAACAAATATGAAAGATGAGTGAATGAGAAGAGAATAAAGGAAGTTAGCAAGAGAAAAAACGCATAAACGAGAATGAGTATTTATTATGTGTTTTTCTCTTTTTTATTTACAATCTAATTAATTGTAGAAATAAAATATAAAAAGTTACAATTGAACTTTATTAAACTTTATTAGTGCCCTTTTCCGAAGATAAAGATAACTATAGCAATAAATGATCAATTAAAGTTAACTTAGAATCCTAACAATAGTCAACTTCTTATATTTCCTATATATGAGGTTCTAATAAAAACCTTCTTAGCCTAAAAACTAAAAACCTCCTTCATCCAATGACTAGGATTCAGTCAAACAGTCAACACACACATGCATTAATTACTTCATTAAACACATGCATTAATTACATCAACGCAGTGAATCCAGATTCACTGTAGTGAATCCAGATTCATTGCGTTAATGAATCTGGATTTGAGGTAGTGAATCTGGATTCACTGTCAAACAGTCAACACACACATGCATTAATTACTTCATTAAACACATGCATTAATTACATCAACGCAGTGAATCCAGATTCACTGTAGTGAATCCAGATTCACTGCATTGATTCGAGATACGTTGAGGTAGTGAATCTGGATTCACTGCGTTGAGGTAATTAATGCATGTGTCTGTTGACTGTTTGATTGAATCCCAGCCATTGGATTCATCTAGATCCAATGGATGAAGGAGGTTTTTAGTTTTTAGGCTAAGGAGATTTTTATTAGAACCTCTATATATATATACACACACACATATTGAATCCCAGCCATTGGATTCATCTAGATCCAATGGATGAAGGAGGTTTTTAGTTTTTAGGCTAAGGAGGTTTTTATTAGAACCTCTCCCTATATATATATATATATA